GTTGTTCCAAGTTGATATCGACAGGCGTGAACAATGTTGTGCGGCCAACTATGAACAAGTTGTCAACCATGTTGTTCCAAGTTGTTACAGTTGAAGAATGCTGTAACAACATGTTGACAACACTGTTCATAGTGGGCCGCACAACCTTGTTCACGCCTGTTGATATCAACCTGGAACAACTTGTTGATTTTCTCAATTTTTACGCGTGTAGCATATTCTTTGCTACACAGGATACTTTTTGAAAACCACATTATGTATGCATAAAGATATATATTTATGTATAAAGATGTATAAATAAAAAGAAATAATGAAATTAAACTAACCCTTTCCGCTCCGTTTTCCTTATAGTCAATAATTGTACCGTTCACCGTCTTGAATTTCACAGAATATTTCTTCACATAATAAGCATTACTTCCACATTGAGTAGAGATATGTGTGATACGATGAGGAGAAATAAGGTTAACAGATAGATACGTACCAGTCGAACGTATCCCCCAGAAACTGCTATGATCTAGTCTCGCATGTGTCGCTGGACCAGTCTCTTGAGAGGACGTTGAACTAGCAGTCATCTGATAATCCTCTATGTAATAATCTTTCAGGCCAAGAGCGGATCCACTGTCTGTAAAAATAAAGAATGTTTTCAGATTTTGCTCTGGAGTGGGGATGCTGAAAATTTAAGGGGTAGGTAGGTGATGGACAAACAGACAAAAACAAACAGACAACATAACAAACAGACGACGGCAACAACAACAACAACAACAACAACAACAACAACAACAACAACAACAACAACAACAACAACAACAACAACAACAACAACAACAACAACAACAACAACAACAATAACAACAACAACAACAACAACAACAACAACAACAACAACAACAACAACAACAACAACAACAACAACAACACAACACAACAACAACAACAACAACAACAACAGCAACAGCAACAGCAACAACAACAACAACGATAGGAAAAAAAATTAAAATTAGAGATCTTACGTGACACGCCTTCTCTGATCATCATTTTCACGGTCTTTAGAGTTTTGTGTTGTTTCCATGAATGCCAGAAAATGCCATCGTTATTATTTTCTTGTTGATTAAAGTACTTTCCATTAAGATTCGATTTGACGCTGTCTCCATACCACCAAGCGCCTTTATGGCCTTCGGGTTTATTCCCAAAATTTTTATACTTTGTCTCAAACCTGATAAAACAAATAGGTCTGAAAATGAATATTCTACGATTTAACATTTGTGGGTGCCAGGATAGACAGTTCATCTCAGGACGACTCAGGTCTATCGTTCGAGGTATTCCGGTTTCATGGCACAGGGAACATTGTTGATCGACAGGGTTAGCCTTCTACAATAGCTGGTTTCCTTCGTATAAATTCAGCTTAGCTCTTAGCTGCAAATGCACTTACCCTTTATATGTATGAGTTGTCAATGAATCACTTCCTGGTCCAGCGTGTTTGCTAAAATTCATCATATAATTATTTGCTTCATCGCCAACGTTAAATCTGTGATAAATGCTGAACTGTTGGCTTGCATCAAAGGCCGCCAAATCTACACGCAAATCCATTACAAATGCGTGAGTTAGCCGTGAGAGATACTCCAGTCCCAGCCAATGTTCTCCATATCCGCCCCCAAATCCCCATTTATATTCATCCCAGATTCTGTTGAAGTCGACAAAGCCATTAAAACGGTGCTGGAATACAGTCCACCCGCCACGATCTGTCTCCTGGTCACAAACAGCCGGAAAAGCACCTCTGCCGTCAGGATCTATCATGTAGACACCGCTGGTTGTTTTGCCCCGCATGAGCACATCAAGACAGGTTTTAGGCGTATCATCTATTAAAATAAATGTGTATGTGTGTATATGTTCATCAACACGTTTTGATGGATGTGGACGAGTGGATGGTCAGCAAGGGGAAGGGGTGCACGGGGGAAAGGGTGCACAGAGAAGGGGTGCACGGGGGTGCACGGGGAGAGGGAGCAGGGGCGGATCTGGCTTCATCTGCGAGAAGGGGTGCAGGTTTTCCATGGGGTAGTGCGTGATGGAGCCTTACTGCCCACTCTCCTCTGCAGTCTGCAACGCTACTATCCCAACATTACCATCATTTGAGATGGTTGAATCTGCATGTTCGCCGTTCTGTTACGTTTTAAATCATCTTTTGTTTATAAAGTTTATATCGGCTTTTTATCACGTGACTGGACAGTTGCTGTAGCACAGTACAGTAAACTTGCTTGTTAAAGAACAGTATATTTTCAAATATGGCTGTACAACACCCTCGACATGTATACATATCGATACAGTACTCTAGTACGCTTTAGTTACCTGTAATGGCTTTTGCCGGTAGAAATGCATCAACCTTTTGTTCGTTTTTGTCTTCTCCTAAAAAAGGAAGAATATTGTACATCATTTTAAAGTACTCATACACGACGACACTTTTGTTATATAAAAGGGGGCGTGTGAATTGAACAAGTCACATTCTATTAGCACTGATGAAGATCCGGGCTTACGGATCGAAAGCTTTGCAGTACTAAATTTACGTGGTGTTTCTACAAACAAAAAGTATTATATGTACTAAAACTATTTACAGTCTGGATTGGCATGCGTACCTGTAATTAAAAATATAAGAGTTTTTAATCTGTTCTTATTTATAATTGGAAGTTTATAATATCTTCTCAACTCTCTAAAATTATGAGTTGGTTGATTTTTTTCAGGTAGTAGATGGTAAATTTTCTGTTCTCTGTTATCTTCGATCGACAGACTGAGTAAAACGTTTTTTTGCATAATTTCTCTCTTCTGTCTTTTAGTGTTGTATTTATTCGTATTTAGTTAGGTATTTATTGTTTTATAATAAATACACGTGGTGTTTTCCACAAACCAAAACATATATTAACTTATATCTTACCTGTCTTACAGCCAAAGAGCTCTATTCTCATGCAAAGTTTGGCCCCATTCCATTTCTGTATATTTATGCGAACAATTTGAGCTATTTCTGGCTGTTGAAATCGGTTGATTACAGTACCGAAGTTGTCATGATTCCCGTGGAAATACTAAAAAAGGAAAGTTGGATTTAGAAACCGAAATTAACGGATAACAGCAGGATGGTAGGTAGGTAGGGAGGGAGGTGTGTATAAGTGGGTATGTAGGTGGGTGTGTGGATACTAGATAGGTGGGTAGGTAGGTGGGTGGGTAGGTACAATCAGGAGCAAAAATGATCGAGACATCCTATTTGCCCCCCTCCCCCCCCCCCAAACAATGTTGTTACCATGATACCAAACTACAGTGTTGGCTGAAATCATTCACCCAACATTGTCAATGGGGGGAGGGGGAAATAGTAAAAGAAGATCGAATTATATGAGTGTAGATGTGTCAAAATGAAAAAAATGTTTGGAATACGTAAAGTCTCATTATTTTTGCATGTGATTGTAGGTAGGTAGGTGAGTGGGTATGTATAGGTAGGTAGGTAGGTGGGTGGGTAGGTGGGTAGATAAGTAGGTAGGGAGGGAGGGAAGGAGGTGGGTGGGTAGGTGTGTATAGGTGGGTTGGTAAGGTATGTAGTTAGATAGGTAGGTAAGTAAATATATAGGTAAGTAAAAACGTAAGTATGCAAGTGGGTGGGCATACCTTTCTCTTGTCATGATGCATTAAGGTAGCCCAGTTGACACTATCGTTTGACAGTTGCACCCAGAAAGCTGTAGGATATTGGATCTGGGTTAAATCATACCCTCGTCCTTGCGTAGCCACCGCACAAATATGTGTCAGCCTAGCAAGATCCACTTGAATAAAGTGCTCCGTGTCAGTTGTTAATGTGCACCAAGGCAGACCATTCCAGTTAAGTCGACCGAAATGTCTAGGCGTAACCTGATGGCTATACTCGCTTGAGACTGTGATGCTGGCATCTGGTATATGCTTGCTTTCCATGCCCAACGGAAAAATATCGGACCCGAGCACAGCTAAAAACAAAGCAAAGAATAAGTTCGTTATACTGCAGGCTTGCAGGGCAAAAAAACATATAAATATAGAACTGTTTGTGGAAAACATTTCGTTCGATAGAGCTGAACTTTTCTGGGTTCAGTGGCAAAGCTGGTCATGCTATACTAATAAATTAACCTACATCTAAACATATTTTAAAAAGAATAAGGACAAAGGTATGAATAATGCAAATCGTTAAAATGTGCATATAGCATGACCTGCTGGTGTGGCCAGCTCAGTTTAGAGTTCACTGGGCTAGCTTCGCAACTGGCAGGGCTTTTGTAGATTTTTTGACCTGACCAGGAGGAGCTGCGAAAAATGTAACCATAGGCGCTCGGACAATGGAACAGCAATTTCGGTGTAGCGCACTGACCACTGACTGAGCTACAGAGTTATCACAAGTTCTCGGCAATTGGACTCCAGCTGTAGCCGTAAAGCCGGTTTTCCACTAGGCGGAATTTTGCACGCGGAGCGGAATTTTTCTTTGTCTTGTGATTTCTCGGGTGGAACTAATTAGAAAAGACAAAGAAAAATTCCGCTTCGCGCGCAAAATTCCGCCTAGTGGAAAACAGGCTTAAGTGGTCAAAAGCGCTGCACGGGAATTGCAGGTTCGATCCCTGCCGATGGGACTATAAAGACAAGACAAGACAAGACAAGACAAGACAAGACAAGACAAGACAAGACAAGACAAGACAAGACAAGACAAGACAAGACAAGACAAGACAAGACAAGACAAGACAAGACAAGACAAGACAAGACAAGACAGACAATTTATTGCTCCATAATAATCACACAATTACATTTTTTGTTTTGTTTTACATTATTCCTTTTTTATCTGTTAATGTTACTTATATATTTAAAATAAAGGAGCTGACACCCCAAAATAACCAAAGGGCTAAAAGACTATAGTTGCACTTTTGCAACTGTTCCCGGTCACGACTAAAAATGTATTTAAAAAACTCATTAATAATTCATGAGGAAAAGACAAAAACAAAAAATATTTCACAAGACGCCATGTTTGTATTAATGTCATCCAACCGAGGCGTGATATTATGTGGGACAAAAATTGGTCCCAGAAAATTTTTGGGCATGGATTGTAAAATTTATTTTATTATCCATGGTTTGAGGTTGGCAGAAAAAATGGAGGTTAAAAAGTCTTAAGGGAAAGAAAGCAAAGAAAGTTAGCTAGAGAATGAAAAAGGAAAGGAGAAACAGAAAGAAAGGAAATGAAACCAAAAGACAGAGCATCGTACTAGTGCAGTGATTGCTCACAGTCTAGTCAAACTAAATATTTAAAGAATACACAATCTCATGAATTCTCATCCATTAGCTAAAGAGTGTTTTGAATTTGCTCATTCATAATAATATTAAAATATGAGGTAAAGGTGCAGACTATCATTATATACATTAACATGTTTAAAAACAGTTAAATTAAGTTTAATAGACTTTAATAGAGCTTAGTCCTTGGTTTGGATTTTGGTGGTAGGCAATATACTACTACCAGCTAGCCTAGACTGGCAATATACTATTACCAGCTAGCCTAGACTGGCAATATACTATTACCAGCTGGCCTAGACTGGCAATATACTATTACCAGCTAGCCTAGACTGGCAATATACTATTACCAGCTAGCCTAGACAACCAATACCCGTGAGATAAAATTGAGAAAAACATAAGATTGCCAGTCGTTCACTTGCAGAAATTTATTTCGTTGGCCTTGCGGTCCCGAGAAAATGAAATATTTTTTGCAACCCTGACAGAAATAATTCACTCCAACTCAAGGAAAGCTTGCCCGTAAACCGGTGTCATATGAACACGCCCCTATATACTTGCCTTCAATCGGCTGTTGACAAATGACTTTAAGAGGAGTCGATGAATCACATGGCAGATCATTTAAACCACTCAATGTTTCTTGTATACATTCTTCAGGCAAACCACTCGGTTCATTGGTATTAGCCCATTTTAAAGTAGCTGTAGGGGACCCGTCCAACCATTCAGTATATTTCATTGTATGAGGGTGGAGACGCAGTCCAAGATGAAATTGACCAAGTCCCAAACGATTAGTGAGAGATTTCAAATAATCCTTCGTCTGTTGGTCATGATATATGGGTAATGTTGCACCAATACCTAGACAATATCTATGGCCAGAGCAAAGATTAAATATTAAGATTAGCATTTCTATAGCGCACATATCGAACCCACGAGAATTGAACCCAACATCTCTTGCCCTGACGACTGTGCCACCGAAATACGGTAAAAGCTTATGGTCAACACAGTGGCAAAAACCAGCCCGACAATTTAGTCATGCTATGCAAATATTTCCGTGTTAATAGACAGTGGAAACAATCAATTTCTAAAGAAATTAACAACGATAATGATTTAAATTGCATAGCATGACCAAAATTTCGGGCTGGCTTCGCACTGGGTCAACAGCAGGACATTTGTATAGGTAATATTAGTAATATTATGGTTTCGAGTGCAATTTGGAAAAACATGCATGCACGAGTAAGTTTTTGAAAAACGCACGAGTGTATCAGTGTTTTTTCAAATTGCACGAGAAACCATACTATTACGTACTTTTTAATAATATACATGAAAAAAATATGCACTCACGTGCGTAAGTCACAGAAATTTGAAAAATAAAAAATTAAGAAAATTAAAGTGGAAGTCAAGTCCGTTCTGCGCATCGGTTCTGCTCATAACAATGTGAGGACCTCTAATGTGAACATTGCCCAAATTTCGAATGTTTCGAATTTTTCTGAACATAAACATTATTTCATATTCATTTAGGGACCGCTCATTATTTATTGTACAGGGGGGACTGAGGAGAAACTCTACAGTTGTAATATTTTTTCGTTGCCCCCCTCTTAAGACAAGTAAAATTTTCAAAGCCCCCCCCACCCAACAGGCAAAACAAGAACATAAATTTTGCTCCCCCCCCTCCTCTAGCTCTTTATCTTTATTTAGAGAAACAAAAACTCTAGCTGTTTATTTTAGAGAAAGAAAAATAGGTAATGGGGACCAATAGACATTCCCATTATAGACTAATTTTTTATCTTACCAAAAAAGGTATATTCCCGGGAGGGGCATATGATACTAAAATTACTAAAATTCCAAAGTTTGGTTGCAAAATGTTGTAAAATATGTAGAAAATATAGCCTTCCAAAGTTTGCAAATTTTGTATTCTTTTGTATAATTGCAATTTTCGCATGCAATACAAAAGTGTACAAAATTTGCAAACTTTGCAAGGCTATATTTTCCGTATTTTGCAACAATTTGCAACCAAACTTTGCAATAATTTGCTTATTCTAGTATGCTCTTTCTAGCTGTGGTGATTTATTTGCATCAAGGCCGGATTTTGAGGGAAGTGTGGAGAGGTGCGCACCTCCCCAGAGATCGTTTTGCACCTCCCCTGAGAATTTTTCCACCTCTCTTGAAAGGTCATGCACTTCCCCTTGGGAAAGTTTCAATGATGGAACAAAGTGAAAATGTGATGGTTGCTTAGGATTTACACTTTGTGACGTAAGAAAGTTTTCTCTGTAAAATTGAAACAGTGATAGCCATGTCAAGCACCCTTTTAATGCAATGTTTTGAAAGAAACAGTGTAGCAATTGTAATGAAGGGCAAGATTGGAGTCATACATTCATAATTCATTAATACACTGGTACATATTATGTACACTACATGCATACCTCACCTCGTTGATATTGGCCTGTTCTACAATAAGCCCTAACTTTCCATGGGAGTTGTGAGCTAGACCGCTGCACCTCTCCTAAAATTTTTGTCCACCTCCCCCACTATTTTCACCAAAATCCGGCCTTGATTTGCATCTCTTTGCCTAGTTCTAAAATTAGTCTATAATGGGAATTGTCTATTTACATGAACATGAGAGACTTTTTATTTGACTTCCATTTATGAATATTAAAGTCTATAAATATTGTTATTTGTTGTTAAGTTGTTTTGTGATACATTTTAAAAACTACTGTTTTTTCAAACTGGTAAATATTTTCAAAGCCCCCCTTCTTTCGTCTCTCTGTATTTTTTCAAAGCCCCCCCTTTCAGGTTTTGAAAAATTTGAAGGCCCCCCCAGTTTCTCCTCAATCCCCCCCTGTACAATAAATAATGAGCGGTCCCTTAGAAGCATAGCGAACCAAAATGGTGTTAGATATTCAGACAGTACATCATATTTTAAAAATTACAGCAGTTCAAAATGTAAACAAACCGTTTGATTACATTACGGACTTGACTTCCACTTTAAAGAAAATTAATTTGCACTGTATTTCTTTTTTGCACTGTACATGTATTTCATTTTTTGGCACTGCACTACTCTTAGCCAATCAGAATTGAGAAATTTTTTCATGTATATTATTAGAGTGAATAAGTGCAAGTGTTTTTTTCACGCGGAGTTAATTTAACTCCGGTGGAGTTATTTTGAACCAAATTTTACGCTTCATTTGAAGTTAAATTAGATTCAAAATAACTCTGCAGGGAGTTAAATTAACAGTGCGATATTGAAGGTCTATTAAATAGGTTTAACTGATTTCCTCGCACTTTTCAGTGGCTGGTAACTGACACAAGTTGTCAACATGTTGCACATGACGTCACTACGTGTAGGCGCCATCTTGGTTGATTTTAAAGTTTTGTCCAGCCGTTTACATCGAAAATCGAAATAGTTGAGTTACTTTAATATTTTTGGTTTGTTTTGAAGACATCTTACTGTATTATGGAGAGTTTACGATTTCTGGCACAATACGACAAAGAATGAAGAATATAGATTTTTAGTTGCCACGAAAATCAACCAAGATGGCGTCGCCGATTGCCAAACGAGCAACACATAGTTTTCATATAGTCTGTCAAGATACGATGGTCTGGAAACTTCAAAGCTACAAAAGTAGAAGGCCTTTGTTGTCTTTGTTTGATGTTGAACTGTATCTCACCGTGCAGAAATCCTTTGTCTCAACTTCATTAAATCTTATTCATCGTGGTTGCACGCAGGGCTTGAATTTTATCGCGGCAATTGCCGTAGAGGGAGAACAAAATTCCGCGGATCATTGCGGCAACGACGGCAATTTTTTGCCGTATAGTAGAATTTTTATACTATTTATACTGCCGTGTAGTATAATTTTGATATACTTGAATTCAGATGTTGATCAAATCATGCGTAAATTACTATTTTAGTCTCAGTTTTCTTCGAAAAAAAAACACTAAACGGAAATACGTAAACACGTTTCAAACTTGTCAACAATCAAAAGTAACAATAAAATTAAAATTTTAATACAGTATGTTTGTGTGATGTTACTCTAAGTGTATATCCACACCGGGCAGGCTCGAAAAATATGCCTGGCCACGGCGGGATTCGAACCGACGACCTTTGGAATACTAGCCCAATGCTCTGCCAACTGGTGTGGATATACACTCAGAGTAACATCACACAAACATCTTATTCACCTGAGTACATTACACCAACACAGCAGATTTTATTACAGTAATTTGAAAAAATGCCGTGGAAACTGCCAAAATTGCCGTAGACAGCTGTTACGTTCAATGGCAATTTTTAAAGCCACTGCCATCGATTGATTTCAGGGCGGAAATTCGAGGCCTGGTTGCACGTTTCATTTCAGCTATCCCTATTGGACAATCACTTCATTATACGACGACGAGCTTAGGGAAGCCTCACATATCGATTTTGTCCATGAGAAACGTCATATGTTCGTTTCTCTGGAGACCCTCCCCCACCCCCCACCCCCCACCCTTAGAAACGTCACGCATAGTTATCGATATTTTGTTCTTTATATAGCACACATAAGGTAATTCTTTACTATTTTCTACGGTTGGCTATTGGCGATGCTTCCGTGAAGAATATGTCATCAAAATTTCCAACGTTTCTCAAAACAAGTTTTTTTTGCATGAAATATTGATAATTTTAGCGCGTTTTTCTTGAAATTTGCGTGTTTTCAATACAAGCCAGGCGTAACAATATAAATGTATACATATATAGAACAGGTATGGTATTACGAATGCAATTTTTTTATTCTGCAAAGATGATTCCGAAATGTTAAGGCTTTCGAAAAAACTATCGAATTTCTCCATTATGTTTACTGAGAAACGTCACAGCTGCAAACCCCCACCCCCAAACGAACATATGACGTTTCTCGTGGAAAAAATCGATA